CAGCAGCAGCAGCAGCAGCAGCAGCAGCAGCAGCAGCAGCAGCAGCAGCAGCAGCAGCAGCAGCAGCAGCAGCAGCAGCAGCAACAGGACGCTGGGCCGGCAGCTGGTGTGAGGAGCGGCAAAGAGGCGCCAGATACGCGGCATGCGGGCAATGCTGGCGCTGGCTCTCGCGGCGGCAAGGACGCGCAGCTTGCAACCATTCAAGCTGGACCGCTCGCCTCAGCACCGCCAGCGGCCGCGCAGGGCGCGCTGCCTGCTCCAGTGGCGGCTGCGGCTTCGGTGCCTGTGTCGTTCGCGCGGGAGGCTCCTGCAGTGCGCAGGGGCGGCGCCAGCGGCGGGGGCAACGGTGGGGGCGGTGATGGTGGGGGCAGCGACGGTGGCGGCAGCGGCGGCGGCAGCGGCGGCAGCAGCGGCGGCGGCGGCGGCGAAGGTGGTGGTGGCGGAGGCAGCGACGACGATGGAGAAGGCGGCCTGGGTGGCTATGCGTCCGACTCCGACGGGGGGCGGTGGCCGCAGTCGTTCTACGGCGCGCCGCCTGCAGCCAGGGTCGCACGCCCGCGGCGTGCCAAGGCTTCGCCGCGCCGCAGCCGCATCCTTGGAGCTGCAAGGCGGGGTCCTGGCCGAAACAAGAATGTAGGGGGCCGAAGCTCCACGCCGCTCACAGGCACGGCGCGGGCCGGCGCCGCGATGGCGCGCAGCCCGGCGCGCGCCGACAAGGCGTCCTCTGAAGACATGGGGCGTCAGGTGCTGCACCAGGCGCAGCTCGATGCGGATCGCCACACCAGCGCGAACGGCCAGTGGCACAATGCGGCGAGCAGCACCGTGGCGGCGATGATGAGGTTCAAGGACCTGAAGTGCAGCTTGCTTCGCCTGCGGTGGGCGAGCACGAGCGCCCAGCCTGAGCGTGCAGAGGCGGCGGTGCGGAAGGCCACGCGGCTGCTGGGGCAGCAGGACGTGGCGGCGTACAAAGGAGATGACGGCAAGCAGGTCGTCGCCGTCAGCATGCCGGGGAGGCCGAGCCCCGTCGTGCTGACCTCAGCAGACGAATCCGAGCTGGAGGGATACCTCTGCTGCCTCGCGGCACGCGAGGAGGTGTGTGTGTGTGGGGGGGGTGGGCAG